TATTCTTTAGTGTTGGTTTTCACTATTTTGTTACAAATTGTGCTTTCGCTGTATCTTCTTCCGGAGTCCAGATAGAAACAATTCTCCAACTGCTTGACTCAGCTGAGATTGGTCAGTTAGTGAGCCACCTAGCAAATTGTGCAACCTATGATCTCCAATGAAATTTCCAAGTTGCATGGTGACTTGGGTTGCGAAATTGCTAATAACAAGAGGAGAAGAAAACAAACTATTCTCTCTCATGCAGTGGAAGATAATATAGTTCGCCAAAACCAATCTGTCTGAATCTTTTATGCAATGGATGCTGTATTATTCACCTTTGATTTCTTGGTAGGTGATGAAATTGAACAATTTTCTTGATCAACTGCATTTTGCTCAGTTGTATAGGTGGAACGTGCTAATAAGTCACGGAATAGGTATGTTCATGTTGGACCCAAAGTAGGAACATCCTTGAATGCCATGCTAACCTGGGCATTGGACTGGGCCCTGGCGGAATGAAAAAGATCTGTTTCCTAATTTCGCTGGAACCGTTCTTCTCCATTTCTCCCACTTTAGTTACAGTAAATGAAAATATTGGCTTATACTTAGCTAACTTTAATATGTTAAACAATAAATATTAGTTGTTCTTATAATATATATTAGTTAATAGTTATAATTATTAATTATATTTAATAGTCAAATTAAAGAATTAGTAATTTAAATATAGGTAGCATTTAAAAATTTATGTGACCTTTAACCATTATGATATTAGGGGGTATCACAACCCTTGCAACTCAATCTGAAAAATAACATCTATGGGGGCAATAAGAGAAACAGAGCATCAAAAGAACGAGAGGCTCACGCTCACAAAACAATAAAGCAACTTAATGCAAGCAGGATGGAAATAAAGCAACTTCGTCCAAGAATGGTTGCTGGGGGGTTAGCTCCCTTCTGTTAATGAAACACAACATAGGTTTTTGTATATAGTTTCAAACAAAATATAATTATCTTCCTCTTATCCTCCTTTTATGGGTAAAATTAGGAGTAATATTCTTTGTAGAAAAGTCAGTTCTTCACTGCACCTTGATGGCCATTTTCAAGAACACATTTTTATGCCCTGATGATGAATCAAGACAAGTCGGTTTTGTCAGTTTTTCAGAGTTTCAAATCCAAAAAGTTACTTAGAAGGACATGCAAACATGTAAATCTTTCTCCCTTTATCTTCAAAAGTAGAGCTTTCACATAGAAAGGAATGAAAAAGGAGATATGGATCTTTGCCCTAAAGCTGCCGTATACATTGGGTGCAACACCAACTACATTCCATCCCCAACTAAAACTCATAGAATATTGCCTTTGAGCAGATGGAATATATGAGTTTTTGGATTTAAGATAATGAGTTCAAAGGGAATAAGACATGACATTTAAACCCCTTTTGGTTTCTCTCTTTTTGACTTCATTGCTCTACCAAACATTCATCTTTTGAGTCACTGATTATGGTTTTAATTTAAAAACTAATCTGGTTTATTTAAGGGGATAATGTCAAGAAGAAAACTTAAACCCTTAACTTTTCATCATCATCCCATGTGAAATTTTTTATCCTTTTTTTTTTTTCTGGGTAAAGCTCTTTTGATATCCTTAGATACAACCCAATTACAGAGACTATTATATAATTTATATTACCTTCTGTAAGAACATTTTTGTATGTTAGTTGGTGACTCTTGAGTATAATGAATCTATTAAGTGAGAGTAAATGTACTCCTCCACCCCAAAAAGAAAAAAAAAGGTAAATGTACTGTGTTTCAGAATGGCACTATTCAAATTTGGTTGTAATAATTCCCCTAAAAGTACAACACCTTGTTCTTTCTTTATAATTGACATTTTTTTCCACTTCATTCCAACATGTTGTCTCTGTTCCTGTTTTCATACTTCCATGAAATTGAGTAGCAGCACCAAATTATTTTGGACCTTTGCAGACGGAGTTTTCTATCTTCAAAATAGAAACTAAGACAGAATTTCGGAAGAGAAACTACATTCCAAGCAGAACTTATACAGGGAAAAAACTAATATAATAAAATGTAGGTTAAATGATAACTTTCGCCTATAAACTTTTAACATGAAATATTTTTAGTTTTTGAATTATTTTTTATATTTTTTTATTCTTAAATTATGAAAAATGTATTTTTAAATTACTCTATCTTTGTTAATTTTGTCTATATATACATATTTTTAATTCTTAAATTCATAAATTTATGAAAAAAAAGGGTATATATTATAAGTTTAAGAATTAAAATTTGTACATTTAAACAGATTTAATAGATTAATTAAAGGAATAACAAAAAAAATATACATTTTTCAAAAAGGTGTAAGAAAAAAAATTAAGGAATTAAAAATGTTTAAAATTAAAAATTAAGAGACTAAATTTAATATTTAATATAAATGTAAGACATTGAATCTAAATGTAAGAGTCAAGTCTATACTAGGGAAGGCGAAATCGTTTTTAGGCACTCTGAGAAATTTATCAAATGAAAAATCTGATTTTTTTTTTTTTAACATATTTGCAAGGGGCGGGTTTCGAACCCAGCCCAAAAAAAGAGGAATGCATCGGGGTGGCTATTGTCATTAAACCTCAAAGGCAAAGTGCAATGAAAAATCTGAATATTCATATTATTCAAAAGAAAATGCATTTTCATTTCCCGAAAAATCTATTATCGAAAACTCAAATTCTATCAAGAAACTAAGAAAGTGACTTTTACAGACAGATAAGTTGGGGGGTAGGTTTTGAGTCCATCTGGGTTCGAGTTATTGCTGAGATTTTGGGCTCTGTGATCAAGATTTATGGTGCTTTGGATATCTACTCTGTTCTTTACCTAATTTTTTTTGGTTGGGAATTGAAACCCAGTGCTTATTCCTCAAAAACAGAGTAGTACTCCCTCTGTTTCACCTTGTATGTACGCATTAATTGTTAATAGCTTTGAGTTCTAAAGATTTAGAATGGCACTAGTAGTTAGTTCATACCTTAAATAAACAGAACTAGTGGTTGTACTAGGATCGAAGTAGCATCTACTCATGATTTTCAGGTGTTTGAGCTGATGATACCTAGTAGTGGTATTTATTGCGGAGACAGCAATGCAGGTCTTGTTATTCAAATTGGTTAATTTTCGTGGTTTTAGTATTAATTCCTTCATTTATTACCATAGATGGGGTAGCTATTGAACTGTTATAGAATTTGTTTAGTTTGAGGAGAATAGAAAGGAGAAGAGGAGAGAAAAAGGGAAGGGATAAATTTTTTTTTAATTAATAAAATTATAATATTTTTAAATATTACAACTTAATTATTTAAAAATTTTATTATTTTCGTCTTTTTTTTCTCTCAAACTAAATATACTTACTAGTTTTTTTTTTTTTCCCCAATTATGCCTCTCATAGGTGATCATAGGTGATGGTAATAAACCAAAAACCCAATTTGGACAATATATGAGTAAGTGTGGTTTGAGCAAAACTTTTACTACTCCCTGCAATTTCAATTTAGTTGTCCTACTTACTCTAAATTTGGGTGTTTCAATTGAACTGTCCTTTATTCGATTTATTGGTATATGAAATATTAAATGCTATTATTTTAATTTAAAAATAGTACTTATCAGTCTTACTTCCTAAATATTATGAGGAAAATTATCTTAAAATTACGTCGTTTCAATAAATTTTTATTGAAAAAGACTAAATTACCTTATTTTTAAAGCATACATTAAGGTAATTTTTGTTTTTTTTTCTCTTAATTTTTTAGAAGTAAGGCAGATAAACACTAACTCCTTTTAATTTTATCTATATTAATCTAGTCTATCTTATAAAATAATAAATCTTTTATTAAATATAAATGCAATTTTTTTAAAATTTAATTATAGAATTTTAACTGATCCTTAAATTGTCTTAGATATGTATAAAAATCAAAATAAAATAATTAAAATTAAAGGAAACAAGTATTACATAGTAAATGTCATGAAATCATGAAATTTATAACAATTTTAAAAATTAATAAAATTTATAATTAAAAATTTTGAAAAACAAAAATGTTGATTTCCAGTTTCAATTTTCAGAAAATTTAACCATACTAAACTAAAATAAACATGTTGTTAGTAATAACAATTATTACTAAAGACAACTTCAGCATATAAACAAATTGAAAAGCTGAAATCAAACTTGTGCATATATGCCAACATTGAAGTAGCTTTATTAAGAGTGAGATTTTCAAGGCATTATTTAACGTTTGAGTGTGATAAATAAACAAACAAAAGAAATATATACTTGTTTCTCATTTTACAGCTTGAAATTAAAAAAAAAAGTATAAATAAATACACATGAAGTATAAGGGAACAGAGTCCTTTTAAACTAAAAATAATGATTGTGAAAAATGAAACAATTAATTTAGAGCACTTCCATTTATAAGTGAAAAAACTAAATTAGATTAAATTTAATATATATAACATTTGTGTGGTAGAAACAAGTGAACGGGAGAAATTTAACTCCCATCGTTCAGCCCAAAAGGGTAACAAACACACGAGGAAAAGGGGTAGAGGTATCCTTTCAAACTTGAAGGGGTGTAGTGCTAGTGCCCTTCAAAACAGAGGTTTGACCCTGTCTAGGACCCTTTAACAGGGACAACTACAAGTCAACCAATTTTATTTTGTTTGTTTGGTAGGACCTGCCGTTCGTTGCTTTTGTTCCCAAGGGGAGCTTAAGCTCTCCTCTCTCTGCTCATTAATAAACCTTCATTTAAACAGGCCCCAACCCATTATTTATATATAGTAGTGTTTCTCAAATTCCATCTTAGGAAACTATTAATTGCCCATTCTCCACGTAGTATAAGGTCCTCACAAATTCCCTTCCTTGATCCTCATCTGTACTCTCTAATTGTTGAGAATGGACAAACGTTGCCGGAAGCAACCCAAGACCAGTACTAGTACTAGCCGCTGCTCTGAAGGTGTGTTTTCCCTTTCCTCTACTTTCCCATCACTTTTCTATCTGGGTTTTGCATTTTTCCTTGGAATCTTTAATGGGTTTCGTTTTTGATGTGTTGTCCCCTTTTGGGTTGCTGAGTTTTGCCATTTTTCTTACGATTCATTCACGGTATCCATTTCTGGGTTCTCGTTTGGACTGATGACTCTGTTTCCTACCCAAAATATGTGTGGCAGAAGTGAGCAGCATCGAGTGGGAGTTCATAAACATGTCCGAACAAGAAGAAGATCTCATTTATAGAATGTATAAGCTCGTTGGTGACAGGTAAACTAAAACTAAAATGGAAACTTTTACTCCTTCCTTCCTCTGTTTTTAACAAGATTATTACATATTTCTTTACACTTAATCTTTCATTTTAGTTTTTTTAAATATACAGTTTATTTTATAAACAAACGGTACTAAGTTCTAGTAACATCTTTCCCCTACATTAAGATTCTTTTTTTCTAGGAAAGGTTACAACTTTTGAGGGTCTTGAAACCTGAACTAGCCCCTAGATTTTGGGGCAAAGGCTGTACTTGTGCCTCATGTTTGCTCAAGGTGCAAGATTTCCCTTTTCTTTTGAATTGACATTTCTAAAATTTGTAAAAGTTTTTAGGTACTTCTAGACCTATTACTAATGAAATATGGTACAAAGTTGAGTTGTTGACATTATTATTGAGGAAATGAAGCACCTTCACCACTGAGTAACCATTAAACTAGGCGTATTTGCAACATATTTATAACTTCAACTCGTTTATATTTCAAAGTGTTGGAGTTTAAATCTCTCAATAATATAAATTAAAAAAGGGTTTAAACATCAAACTTGATTAATTAGTATTACTCATTGTGATCAAGATTCTCATATATATGTATATATATATTTCTCAATGCATTTGGAAAATCGGAGGTGGGAATGGAGGATTATGTAACCTAAATCTTTCCATTATTGGTAACATTCATTTGATTTTTTTTTTAAACAATATAAAAAATATAAGAATATGACACACCACAACTTTAAAACCGGATAATTTGGAGGGCAATATTCGTTTGATTAGACTTAGAAGGAATAAAGGAAGAAATAAAAACTTTAAATTTTGTCTTTTTGTATGGAAGTAATTAAATGCTTGCACATACATGCTCTGCAAAATTTTATGACTGTTGAAGCTGGTTCATTTAATAATGACTTGAAAACTATATGCATTAATGAATGATACAGGTGGGCCTTGATAGCTGGTCGCATTCCGGGCCGCAAAGCTGAAGAAATAGAGAGGTATTGGATTATGAGACATGGAGATGGATTCGCCGGCCGCCGGAAAGAGATGAACAGGAAACATAATAATAACTCCTAATTATGCACGCCTCCATCAACTAGGGATTTTAATTTCATTTTCTTATATCTTCTCTTTGTTTCTTTGAGACGCTCTCCTTTGTAAGTCGACAAGGTTTTGTTAAGATGAAAGTAGCTAGTAGTAAGGTGTTGAAGCGCGCTTAAGCCATTGTTGGCTTAATTTTCAAAACAGCTTCTCTATTGTAAACATTTTTTCCTTCCAGAATTGTTCTCTAGAATCAACTTTGATGCAAATTTGAAGCTCTCAGAAAAAGAGCTTTTGTGGGTAGTTTCTAAAAATTCATGAAATATGTTAATCTTTAAAATTATATACCATTCACACTCACATTATAACACTTCAAAATATATCAAAAATTGTAAAAAAAAAAAAAAGTGTTTTCAAGTTGGACTACATTTTAAAAGTGTAGTTCAACTATTAAAATTATTTAAGTACTTTTAATAAAAAAAATTTATATTTATTTATTAAAAATAATTTAATAATTTCAGTGTTAAGACTACATTTTTAATATGTAGTCCAAACAAAAATATATAAATCTCAAAATTGTAATTGGATTTAGTGTATTTACCTTCTAAATTATCTTCTTTACTATAAAAACTGAAACCAATTCAAACACACATTTTTTTGAAAGTTTTCTTAATATTTTTAAGAGTAAATTCTAAACATGTTACTACTTTTGAAATAAATCTTTTGCCGCTAAGCTTTAAATTTTTATAAACATTTATTTAAACAAAACTTAAAATTTAAGAGTTATGGTGAGACCAAAAATGGTATTAGTTGGAAATCATATATTGTTTTTTAGATTTTTATGTAGTATCAAAATGTCACTATTGAAGATTTCAAGTTCATCTTTGAGGATGAATGAAAAAGCATTTAAAAAGAAAATAATTATTTATACAATACATTAAAAAATACTAACATATTATTTTTATAATTTTTACATATATTAAGATTATTTTTTTTTAAAAAAAAAATCTTAAAACGCTTATCCTTATCCATCTAATATTCTATATTGTGTATGGCCTTTTTGGTACGTACGGACTGGGAAATGGTCACTTGTATTAATAATACTCATAATATCGTACATACATTGTCCCAATATTAAGATAAAATACATGGTACGTACAAATTAATACCAACATCACGAAAGACAAAACTGGGCAACTTTTGGAGGAAGAAAAGATGAATGGATGCTTTCTGGATCATTTAATGCCTTTGTCATTTGCGGTCAGGGCGAAGACAAAATTTTCACCTCCCGCTTTGAGGAGGAGACGAGAGGTTTCTCGTTTCTGTCTCGACTTCTTCGGTCTTTATAACTTAATATATGCAGCTTTATTTACTGTGGAGGTTGGGGGAGGGAATATTATTTGGTAAAAGGTATAAATTCTCCTTTAAAATTAATGTGTTAAAGTAAATCTTGACTAAAAAAATATTGATATAATTTGTTATTTAAATTTTTAATGTTTAAAAAATCAGCTTAAATTTAAAAATTTTTATTAATTTTTTTTGTTAGATTCTAAGAGCAATTATTTAACAAAATTTGACAAAAATTATTAAATTTGAGTCAATTTTTTGAAACTAAATAATTAAGATAATAAATTATGTCAACATTTTTTTTTTGGATGGTCATTTATTTCAATGTAATAATTTTAGAAGGCAATTTACATATTTAGCCAATATTATTTGTGTGGTGAATCATTCATGTTTAAATGAGCGTTTAAATTAACATTTCAAATATAGTTGTTTGCTAATAATTAATATTTAACAATTAATAATTATTGTTTAAAATTAGAAGTATTTAATCTATGTAATTAGATCCAACAACTGATGGTATTAACCAAACTCCAAACCAAACATCCCCTTAATCCTGCATTCAATAGTTGCTCTCAACATGTGGTTGTTTGAATT